ACTTGGGAGCCTGAGGCAGGCAGATCTCTGTGAGTTCAAGGCCAGCCTGGTCTACATAGCAAGTTCCAGACCAGCTGGGACTACAGGGAGACCATTTCAAATAGATCAAAAAATTAAAATAAATAAATAAATAAAAATAAATGGGAGGGACTGGAGAGATGGCTCAGTAGTTAAGAGCACTGGCTGCTCTTGCAGAGGACTGGGGTTCAATTCCCAGCACCCACATGACATGGCAGGTAACAACTGTCCTTAACTCCAGTTCCAGGGGATCTGATGCCCTCTTCTAACCTCCAAAGGCATGACGGAACATGGGTGCACTTATATGCATGCAGGCATTACACTCATCCACATAAAATAAAAATGATAAATAAAACAATTAAAAAAAATAAAGGGCAGGCTAGGTTGAGATCGGCCAAAATCAGGCAATAATGCCATATTAGCATACAGAAAATAGTAAAAACTATCTGTATTCCAATATCACCATATCATAAGAGAAAAAGATCATATAGAAAAAATCATTGAATATGAAGAATTTTAATGTTTCTTAACCAGATATAGTTTTACAATGAAAAAATATGTGGCCTTCATCTTTTGTTAGACTGACGGGCAGCATAGAAGCAAAATCAAAGCAAGTGTGTAGAGAAAGGATAAGGTGAGGGAGGCATATCAAGATAGGAGTGAAGAGAATAGCTGAAATCCAAGCTGTCGGATTAATAAGGCGCTAGATGCTGAGGAGCTGCAGGTAATATCAAAGCGCATTTGCAGAATGTTTCCTTTTCAGTAATTGTACAATGACTCCCCTGCCATTACAAAGCACTTTTCTTCTTGGCAGATTGAAGAATGCTTTACCAACTAAATGCATCCTCATAATATTCAGAGCTTAGGTCCAATATAATCATAAGTTGCCTTGTTATTATGGAGGTAGCAGCCCCATTTAATAACATATTAAATGCATTATTCATTTGTGTAACTCAGACCTAGGGACAGCTGCTGAGATGAAAATAGAACCATTCTGTGATGCAAAAAGCAGGTGTGTGCTTACTTGAGTAAATTAACTCTGTATTTCTGCAGAGTTTTCCTCTAAATTTCAGGGACATGTCTGATAGGGCTAATGCAATGCCATTTTCATCCAAGAAATAAAATAGTTTCAGAATGGTTTTTAATGAGCATTTTTAAAAAAATCAGCAACAGACTCCTCTGTGGCAGAGTCCCAGGGGAATAGATCCGTGCTTTGGATTTAAGCAGAATCCTGTTGCTAAGGGGTTAGGAAAGTCTGAGGTGATGATTACTCAGAACAGCAGCAAACAAAAGGAAAGTTCTTTCTCTGATGAGGCCAGTGGTGGATGCTGAGCCCAGGCTTCTAAAGCTGCTCGCTGAGGCGAAGCCACAGGTGTGCTTGCATGCTCAGTGATTAGAAATCCTGACCCACCTTCATTTGCACAGTGCTTTACCTCTGACACATGCAGGCACTTTGGGTGCAGATAAATGCATTGAGATGCCATAATTACCCAGGATGGTGTGGCTGGGCATTTTCCTGCTACCACTGCTGGTACTAGAATGCTTCCATTTTTTTTTCAATATCCATACATGATATTCTCTGGGTTTTTTTTTTTTTTTTTCTTTACCCTTCTCACTTGCTCTTATTTTCTCCTTTTAAATCAACCTACACCCATAAAGACCTAAAAAAGGACTGGGTGTTCAACATCATGAGACCTGAAAAGGAGCCATCCTAATACTTAGTGAGATTCTGCCTAAAAAACAAACAACAACAAAACAAGAACAAAACCCAGAGATCAGAGCACTGGGTTGGTAGGTGAGGCTCTTTCAGTGTTAGAGGCAATGGCAGTAACTTACTATCATGAAGATATTTCAGCAGTTGAACTGATACAGTCATGCCAGTGTGAACCTTTTGGTGCCCAGTCTTGTATATATGTGGGACACAACGATTCCATCAAGGGGCTTACAATTCATAGTCACACGTAGGAAGACAAAAATCATGTCAGGCAAAGGATTCCTATCAGCATCTCATTAAGACTCAAGAGGTTAGAAGAAGGTTAATTTCCTTCTATTTAAGAGGCACTGAAACATAGTAGAACAGAAAGAATAAGCTCTAGTGACAAATGACTTAGGGTCACGGCTGTGTGACTTTGAAAATAATAACACTTAGAAATTACAACTTCTTTATCTATGTATTAGGAATGATAACGATATTTTCATTTTTACAGACATCTTGAAAATCGATGACATAATTCGTGTAAAGAACTTTGCAACATAAACAGAGAACAGCAAGTGCCCTGTAAACAATTTTCATTGTTTTGCTATTGTAGTCAGAGAAGTTTGTTTTAGAGTGGGAAGTAGGTAAGCTGTATCATAAAGGGTGCTTAAGCTTTAGGAAGAAGATGGAACATGCAGGAGAAAACAGAACCGGAAAGAAGAAATAGATACTTTTTAAAGAATTAGGTATATTTACTGAATTAAGATGGGCTTGAGGAGAAAGATTCCAGAAAGGCATCATGGATATAGAAAGATGGTAGAGGGCGTTAAGTGATAGCTTAGAAGATTTTCAACGTATCCTGAGACTGCTTGGATGTCATAAAGTTTGTGAACAGGAAAGAGAAGGTAAAATTGTTAGCAAATAGGTAAAATAGCAATAGTTCGTCAGCACTTGCTAAGTGATAAGACAGTTTTTAATAACCTTTATAGCTTAATTTATTTAATCCTGCATCTTTACTCGAAGGTGAATTAAATATTAATGATTTATTTAGTCTTGATCCATGGTGTATAAAGCATTTTTTCAGGAGGCATCTCATTTGACTTTCTCAATGCTATTTTGAGGTAGTCAGTCTTGGGAATGGACCACAGAGGAAAGCATGCTCACTAGTCATCAATGGGTGGGAAAAGCACTTTCAGGCCAAACCAATCCACTATCAGTGATGTGAATGACGTTTCACAGGGACCCAAGTTTATCTGTTCTTTTATGTATTGTCTATGTACACTTTCATGATACAGTCACAAAGATAAATAGTTCTGACCAAGAATACCTAGTGCACAAAGCAAAACATTCACTCTCTGGTATAGAATAGTGGAAACTTGGGCTTTAAATTGCTTTTAATTTGAACTAAACATTAGCCCTAAGCAAGAATTTGGGAAATCAAGTACACACAAAGTAAAGTAGTTACTGTGCACTCCACAATTAATATATAATTAGGTAATACAGAACCTCTAAATTATTATGCTTATCCTAAAATCCTGGATATAATTTATTAAAAATTGGATAAATTGCATAGGATAAATATGCAGAATGATTCATTTCTTTCCACTAAAGCCAAAACAAGGAGGAAGAAAAATAGTAGGAATTATCTACTGAGTCTGCAAAAATGTAAGCCTCTGTCTTTTAAGGTTTCAGTAGTTCAATCAGAAGAGCCTCTCATGAAAGAATTAGTAGAAATGACCAAATCCAGCCATTTCGTTCTTCCCTTCTCTGCGATTGTGGCACTCTTAGCTCAGTGTTCTGTCACACACCCACAGAAATCAATATTTTCTCTGAACTGCAAATAGTCTTATAGTTTATACACTAGTCTCCCTTATCAATCGCTTCACATTTTGTTGTTTTTGATACCCATAGTCAACCACAGTTTGAAACTATTAGATGAAAAATTGCAGAGATGAATAATTCATATGTTATAAGTTGTATTCCATTTTGAGTTGAGAAGTAAGATTCTGCCTGACTCTGCAGACCTCTCCATGCCTCTAGGGTTCCTCTGACTTTATCTTATCATATAAACATTACATCCTCTTACATCGTCACCAACGGTGTGAGTGCAAAGAAATATTTTGGGAGAGAAGCCACATTCCCACAAACTTTAGGACAGTATTTATTTATAATTTTCACATTATCAGTAATTATTTTAATAGTTTAGTGTGCTTAATTTATAATTTAATCTTCAGTTAAGTGTTCATCTCTAGGACAAAGCATAGTGCTTACAGTGTTCAGTACTATCTGCCATTTCAGTTGCCCACTGGTGTCCACACAGAGGGAAAAACTATGAATTCGTTCTAGTACATAATTATATACTTGAATTATCATCTAAAGTATCTATTTATGTCTCTTTGACTTATTACTAACCAACGTGAGTAGAGATTATATTTTCCACCTCTGTGCATTTCATCAGCTCCCAATGAAGAAAGGATTCATCAATTGAGTAGATGAATAAAAAAGACTCATGGAGGGCTTCAGAGATGGCTTGGTGTAAGAACACTTGCTGCTCTTGCAGAGGACTGGAGTTTGGTTCCAAGTACATACTACAGGCAGCTCACAACCACTTATAACTCCGGTTCCAGGGGATCCAATGCCATTTTGGCCTCCATGGTGCAAATATATAGTCTCAGGTACATACACATACATGTAAGGTAAATTAGATAATCTTTTTAAAATGCAGTTCAGGAAATGTGATTGATAGATACATGTTTCCTGGCCTGTTTTCTTTAGGTTGAGTGCCATGTCAGGGACTTTTCCTGTCTCTGTGACAGAATGCCTAACAACATAAGGGAGGGGAGATTTATTTTGGTTCACAGTTTGAGAGATGCAGGCTTTCATGGTGGAGAAGTTATGGTGACAGAAGCTTGTAGGGAAGCTTATACACATCTCAGCTGATCAAGAAGCAAAGAGCTCCAGCCCATACCAGAAGAGGATTTTTTTCTTCAAGGCTAACCCTTAGTGGTCTATGTCTGCTAGCCCCCTGCTCAAAAGGTTCACAACTTTCCATAGCACTACTAGCTGGGGATCATGTGTTCAAAGCTTAAACCTGTAGGGGGCATTCCACAACCAAACCCCAACAGGTGCTTTGTATGAGTGATCCTGGACACTACTAGCAAGATGAAAGGTAGGTGGTTAAGAGGTTCTTGAGGGTCCTCAGACAAGGCTCTAGTAGTAGATTAGGAAATGGATAGTGATATTCATTATATAGGTGGATTTATGATTCGAGGTTTTCTGCACTTAGGTATAGGAAGGTGGTGTCCAATAACTGCACCGATGGAGTGAGAGAACAGTATACAGCAAAGCCGCAGAAGTGTCCAGGCAAGGCCCCTCGTGGGCTCCGGATCGTCACTTCAGATGGAAAACTGACCGCAGAACAGGGCCACAATGTCACTCTCATGGTACAACTGGAAGAGGTAAGGCTGAGTCCTGCTGACCTTCTGCTCTCTAGGGCCAGTGATATTCGTCCCAAACCTTGGTTTCATTTAAATAGCCTTTTAAATACTTTCATTGTTTTTGGTAAATTTTCTATTGCTGTTTTTATTTATTTCATACAGAACATCTTAATCTTATTTGTCTTTACGGCATGCCCATAGCCTCCATCCAGCTCTGGAATTCGTACAATCTGTCATTTGTTTTAAGGCCTATAATGCCGTGTCAAGTTAGTGTCCCCAGATCCCCCTCAGTGCAAGTTCATCTACTGGGGTCTAATAGCCTATGTAGGGTCCCTCCCTTTAAGAAGATAAGCTTTTCCTAACCCAGCAGTGATCAGCTGCCAATAGTTCTTCGGCTAAGACTGGGGCTTGTTGCCCTTTTCCACAGTTCTGAGCTGGGATTTTGTCTGCTGGAGTTTGCACAGGTCTTCTGTATGCTGACACCATTGCTGTAGGTTCATATGAGCAAGGTCCCAGGAGCTTGTAGGAATCTATTTCCATAAGGACCTCCTCCCTGATGCTTATAATCTTTCTGCCCCCTCTTCTGAAATGGTCCTGGAGCTGTGGGTGGGTGGAGTTTAACACCCAAGTCCTGTCCAAGGACCCATACTCTGCAAACTCTTACTCTCTATACTTTGGCCACTTGTAACCTTTTGTATTTCTGCCCTCTGTTACATGAGGGAGCGTCACTGATGAGAATTGAGAGATGTATTAACTTAAATAGGGAGTTGCGGGGGGAGCTATGGGGATAAATGAGCTTAAGAGGGGGGACCATATAGGAGACTAGTATTATCAAGGAAGAAAAGGGGAAAATGGGGATACTTTAAATGGGGGGACATGGAGGGAGGGTTAGATAGGGAGAGAGAGAGAGAGAGAGAGAGAGAGAGAGGAGAGATAAATAATACCTAGCTAGTGTAAAAATCCAGAGGGAATCATATTAGTTCAAAAACCTACTGACAAATCACACATACAATATCTCTACACGAGTCCATGTGTATGGCTTAAGGCTATATAACAAGAAACAGTGCTAAACAGGAGAACCTTTCCTTTGAGTTGTTGGCCAGGGTAGTCCAAGAGATTCCCAAAATTCCACAGGCTATTGCCAGAGCCCTTGATTGCCTACACACTTTAACTCTGGTGTCATTATTAACATTTAAAATTCCTTTCTCTTCACCAAGGTTAGTAGACTGCTGGCCATATTTTAAGTACACAGAAAACATCACTGAATATCTTATGAGTGTCTGATTTAATAACTGAGATAACTTATTAAATGCATATTCTTGGAGCACATCTTCCTTGTAACAAAGGTGATGAGTGTGTTTTTGTCCAATCTCAAATATATATGGGAGATTTTATCTTATCTCCCTTCTATGTAGTCATATATTTCAGACAAACATAATTAGTCAAACATTAATCAGTGCTCAGAGTGACACCCCTGGAGTCCTACTAAAACACAAGATATCAACAGTGAAAATTGCTATATTAATTTTTGACTGTATTGGCCTGAGTGTTATATTTGACCAGCCTTCTAACTTTGGAAAGAAAAGTCAGGATGTCAGGCCACAAGAAAACAAAAGTGAAGTACCTTTCAGTTGGTTACCATTCATATGTTCTGAGAAAACATTTTTAAACTGTGAAAACAAGGCAGAGTTAAATCCAGAGAGAGCCTTGAAATATAACAGCTTAAGTAGGAGTGGAGAACAGCTCAGTAAAATGAAAGAAAGTGAATAATGTGTCAGGGAAAATGAGATAACCACAAGCAGGAAGCTAAAATCAAATCAAACGAAAGTAATTTCATTTAAAATTGAAAATATTCATTAGTATCCTCTTTATCCCTTGTTCTAGAGCCTTAGGTATAGAGTTTGCATTGTAGATGTGCCACTTAGCCTTGGGCAAGTCACAGACACCGTCTATGTGTGACCAGTTGTGGAACTCTGCAATAGTCTCAGTCTGTTGTAAAAGAAGCTTCTTTGATGAGCGGTGTGCAGCATACTTGTGTGTAAATATAAGGATGCATATTTTGCACATAGTAAGAAATTACATTTGTCTAGGGATGTGACAGTCATGGGGTTTCTCTAAGATCTATGACCTCTCCAGCATGTGCATTTGGCTATGTTTACAGTACCACACATGAGTTTCCTCCCATTGAGTGGACTTTAAGTTGAATTAGGTAACTATTGATTACCCTCAAGATAAAAGTACCACTACTGCACCAATGTCATTTGCTCTACAGGTCAGGTCATTGATATGGATATTAGGCCTTGAAGTTGAAGTTGGATCACTGATTGGTGTTATCCCTTACCAGCTTACATAGTGCTCTCCAAAGCTATGAGAGCTAGCCTTCAAGGGTGGTGGCTTCCAGGTTAGTTCCAGCTTCATTGCTCCAAATTCTGTGTCCAAAAGTATGTCCTGTCTTCTGCAGTAGGGTCTTACCTTCAAGTTATGGGTGGCAGTCTTCCAGTTTCCTATTCTGGTAGTCAAAGGCTCTTAGTCTTCAACACACACAAGAGTCATATGGAAGATGCCTATGGCCACATTTCCAAAGCTTCTCACTCAGTAGACTGAAGTGGAGCCCACTCATTTCTAAGCAATGCACAGTTATGCACTGTGCTTTCGGGAAACAAGAAAAAAACAAAGCAGAGGAGAATGGAAAGAAAAGAGAATTCAGAGACTCTGGAGTGTGACTGAAGGGGAAACATGAATGAATTAGGGTAGCTTTCTTGTGTTTGATAAAAATCCTAAGTATTTTAATTCCAGCATTTCTGAATCAGTGCCTTTAGCTATAACCAATATTCTAAATACCAAAATTCTAAAAAAAAAAAAAAATTCTCTAGTTGGAATTAGAAAGCTTCAAATCAATTTTTTCCAATCAGGTTTTTTCCTATTCTTTTAAACTTTGTGGGGATTTCTGTTTCAGACTGTAACAGATTTGCTTATAGCAAACCATGTTTTTGGAGTGAATGAGATAGAGAAAGGGAAGGAGGATGGAGGGAGAGGAAGGAGGAGGAGGATGAGGAGAAGGAGGAGGATGGAGTGAGTTAAGGAGAAGGGGGCGAGCAGAAGAAGAGGTGGATGAGGAAACTATCAGGAAGACAGAGGAACCAGAGTTCTTTCCTGGAGAGATGGAAAAATCATCAGGATGAATCCATTATCTGGTTTATGCCCAATTTCCTCTCCGAACATCACCAATTCCTATGCCACACTACATGGTAGACTCAAGATCTAGATTCCTAGTTGGAGGACAAGCAGAAAGCATTGGGTAAACAGAAATAAGAGAAAAGGACAGAACATAAAGAAAAGGGAATAATAGACAATGGGAAATGGTGAAGGGTCAGAGAACAGTCATTTGTGACCCTGGAAGGGAAAGAAGGATGTAGGGAGCTGGGATCATTGCTAAAGATAGAATGGCTGATAATTTTTCTTAGAATTTTTACAATTTTCATACAATAAAATTTGATGGTATTTAGATCCCTTCCCATCTGTACTTCCCCTCACTGCCCCTCCCCTGCCCAATATATACAATGAGTCTAATTTGCATCTTCAAATGCTCTTCAGTTTGGGTCCATCCACTAGAGCCTTGTTAACCTACCAACAGTCCCATGCTTCAAAGAGACTGTATCTGCCCCTCTTCTTCCCTACTTCCTCATGTCAATGCTGTGATGTGTTTCTGGTTGAGCTTGCGCTGGACTTGTACAGGCTGTCACCATTGCTGTGAGTTCCTATGAATAACTGACCAGCTGTCTGGAAAACTGTTTCCTTGTGATCATCCACCACCTTTGGCTCTTACAATCTTTCTGCTCCCCTCCTCCACAATGATCACTGGGTCTTGGGAGGCAGAAGTTTGAAACAGGTGTCCTGTTTAGGAATAAGCAGTCGGCAGTTTCTTGTTCTCTGCACATTGGCCGTTTGTGAGTTTCTGTGTTAATCACCATCTATCACATAAGGAAACTTCCTTGGCAAGAGTTGAGAGATGCATTAATCTATGGGTATGAAAATAAGTCAGGAAGAGCCAGTTTTATAAGATTTAGTAGAAAACCAGTACTAGATTCTCTCCTATGTCAGTGATCTGTCTTGCCTCTGGTTCCTAAGCCTGACATAAATGTTAGGTATAGATAGGCTCCATCCTAGGAAGTGGACCTTAACTCCAATCAAAAAGTGGCTGGTTACTCACAGAATATTTGAATTACTATTACACTGGAAGCCATACCTTGTCAGGCCAGTTGTTACTATAATTCACAGGATTCACAGCTGAGCAACGTTGGTGATTTTTTTTTTCCTTCTGGTAGCATGCATGGCACCTTCCAGAACTATGAATGCTAGTCCCTGAAGATGAGGCTCTGAATTCAGCATCAGCTTGATTTCTCCTATTTGTTCTACAGCTCATAAGTGTAGCGTCTTCAGCAATTGAGTCTTACCATTCAGTTCTAGTGGGTAACCAAGAGCAGAGGTCAGTATTGTTTGTATTGTTTGAGGGTCCATGAGACCCCTTGGTTAATAGCTTCTAGAAAGGAGTTCATTCTTGGCAATGAGGTTTTTTTTTTTGTTGTTGTTCTATGATGTATAGAAAGGGCAATATCTCCCTGTTATAGGATAAACCCTTTTAATCTTTTCAGGGTGTGTATGTATATATTTTAAGAAGATTTTATAGTGGTAGGTTTCTATTCAGATTTTCCTGGAAAGCTTTTAGAGTTGGTTATCCCAGACTCCCGCCTCCTCCCTGCAGTCTTATGCCCCATCCCATTTAACCCTTCCTACCCTAATGCTCTTTCCTTCTTCATATCCCTGCATTCTACCACCTGTTCCAGAAAGCTACCCTCTGCCTGTAATCACCCATGGCCTTTTATTAGCTTTCTGACATCTCTGAATTTTTAAAAACCAAAGAAATATTCAGGCATGTCAATGCATACCTTTAATCCCAGCACTCCTGATGCAGAACAGGGTGGTCTCTGGGAGACTGAAGCCACCCTGGTCTACACACCAAA